CTCTATCGCTCTGCCCCTCTCTCTTTTTCTCCCTTTTCTCTCTGTCTCTCTGTCTCTCTGTCTCTCTGTCTCTCTCTCTGTCTCTCTCTCTCTCTCTCTCTCTCTCTCTCTCTGTCTCTCTCTCTCTCTCTCACCCACATACACACACTCACATTTAATATACACACATACACACATACACTCACATTTAAAGCACACATATACACTCATACACACTCACAAACACACTTACGTTTAATACACACACACACTCACATTTAATACACACACATTCACAAACACACACGCACATACATACACACAAGCGCGCGCACATTTGCTTTCATGGTCTAGAGGTTAAGGTGTTGGCCTCTCATTCAAAGGTCCTGGGTTCGAATCCGGGTAGCAACAGAAAAATTTGCTTCTCCGAAATTGTCTCCTTTCAACTCCTGTCCTGCTCTCAAATACGTCTCATCTTTCTGCCCCCATCCCCTCACCTCCTTTGCCCCCTTCTCTGGGCTCCAGGCTCTTCCTTCAGCCTTTCTACTGCTACTCCTTGGCTCCTTTTTACTGTTGTCTTTCAGCCACACCCCTGATCTTCGGGGAGGAAAGATCTACATCTAGCCTTCTCGGACAAGGGCGAACGATCTCGGAGGGTTCGTGTGCAAGTTGCGCATGTTAAAGATCCCTTGGTGGTCTAAAATCGATAAGAGTATGCTTCGGCGGCCACTCGAGCAAAATTCAAAATCTCCTACCATCTGAAAATGTCTGGTGTATCCCGCGCGCTCATTTTATTATGACCTTATGCAGTTGCGAGCGCCGTAAAACACTTACCCACCTAAAAAGAAACTTTTTAAAATTTTACCTGAATTGAAGTCAGCACCAAAGGAAGCACACTCTCCGCTCCTCGCCAGCAGTGTCACTGAGGGAAACAACAAGACGCTCATGCTACAGGTATTATGTTCTTTGCCTAATATTAATATCTTGACAATTCTGAGAAGAAAGTAAGGATAGAAGAACATAGTTTCAGTCTCTCTCTGTGTGTTTCTCTCTCTCTCTCTCTCTCTCTCTCTCTCTCTCTCTCTCTCTCTCTCTCT